ACTTGCATAAAATAATACATAGATTCGCTACTAATTAATCTCTATATCAGTAATACATGCATAACTCTAACCAACTATCAAATAACCCCTTAGAATTTGATAAAGATAAAATGTATATGCAGACCTTACTCCTATTTTATAACGATAAAGAGTTTTTTTCGAAAAATCCTAAATCCAAGTGAAGTATGTCAAAACAATAGTATGCGTTTTAACGGTTAATTAGAAGCTTATTGATTGAGTAATTTCTACATACATGCAATTAAAATTTTAGTACAGAAGATTACATACATGTAATTTCAATGAAATTTTGTCACTTCGACAAGTAATTTCATGGATGTTACTCGATTATTATTGTTATTTTATTGCATCAAAATTAAATAAATATTTTTTCTAACAAAAAGATTATTTTATTTAGCCTTAGTGTCATAATAGTTGCTAAATAATTTTTAGTATTCAAAATGTCACTTAACTTCACCTAAACATCATAGAAAATTTCTTATTTATTTTCTCGTGATTTTATGTGATATTTTAGCAAATAAAGAGACCTTTTTGTTGCAAAACCTAGTTAACGACTAAAGTCTTAGTGACTTTCTTTTGTTACAAATTATTATTTAATAATTCTGATATAATAAAATAAAAATTAAGTGATCATTCACGAATTACGTTGATGAATCAAAAGTGTACTTAGGAGCTAAATGTGCTAAGTTGAATGCCACCATTTAGCAAAATTAGATTTGTCAAATAATTAAGGAATCGAAAGCACTATTATCCCTTTAATCAGATATCTACAAATTAACTCACCAAAGATTATGTCTTTTCTTGTTGATTATTATGCAGATTATTTTATAATTTCTTTTTGTCACATAGTCAAAAGAAATTTATACAACGTACCAATTGGACTCGATAAATGTGAATGTGATTGACACGAAGCCTCTTGTTTCAAGACTATATATTAAAATTAACTCTCACCGTTAAAACAAATTACTAAGTAAATCAATTAATGATACAAAAATATATTTTTTTTCAAGCGAATTTATGGTTTAAAATTTATGAGTTCTGACAATAACTTCAAATTAATAGTATGTAATAATAATCGATTCACAATCAAAAGATTCATTTATACATTTAGTGAGTCTTTTAATATAAATACAAAATTTGAGCAAAGTTAGTACTACGTTCACGTGAATTGTTTGTATTCTCCTAAAAATAATTTAGTATTTTCCAATATGCTAGAAAATGACATCACCTATTTTAATCCACAGACACAACATCACCTGGAAAACATTAGCAATTCATAGCATGATTTGCAATTTGCATGTCATTGTCATGAAACAATATAATGACTATGATATATATATATATATATTCTTCATGTAGTATACATTCTGGATATACAATTATGTAAATTGTATACCTTAGAGGTATACAACGTATTAAGTTAATAAGTTGTATGTGCGAATTTTGTGAATGGGTATAAACATGTAGTAGTTTTTTTTACACAACCTTGGGTAACCATGTAAAAGTCCCAAATTCTTTTGAGTAGGACTTATTCATAAAACAAAGTTTTTAGTCATGCTTCAACCTAACAAAGACATGTAAATTTTTAGAAATGCAGACAAGTACATGATGAGATTAAACTTCAAACAAGTACCTAGTGGTGGAGCGAGAATTTGCACTAATAGAGTTCAAAATCTGAAGAAGTGAACACAGAGAAACTGAACGAAAATTGTGAAAACCGAATTGAACCAAATTTATTTTAGTTTGGTTTTGGTTTACATTTTTACTGAACCTAAAAACCGAATCGAAAAATTTGTAAACCGAACCGACTGAATGCCCAGCCAAAGACGTGACACATCTTTATGTGCAGTATTCCTAATTATCTTTTTTCTCTTTTTTGAGCATTTGTTGGTTTATTTCTTTATATAATGTAATAATTCAGTAATTAAAGTAATAATGATCAACAATTGGATTTGGACTTTCCAAAAGTAAATGACTGACATGTTTAAAATTTTATAATTGTTTAAATTTAATTCTTCTTAATCACAATACTTCTTCCTATTCATTTTGTAATGAAAACAGAACCATTATTTCATATAAGCACAACAAATTATTTATTGTAGTTTTTATACCCACTCAATATTTGCACCATAATTAGCTCATTTAAGTTACACTCAATATTGTAACTTATATATCATTTAAACTCGTTAAAACTCTTAATTATAGGAACTTCATTTAACCCGTTATAATATATTATGGATCCAAATGTTCAGACAAAGAGGAACTACAAGCTTGGGATCTTTCTTCACCTCTTTTCTTTTCTATGTTGTTGGTTATATCTCAAATTGTAGATGATAAGAATTATTAGTTTTGCTATCTGTTTTTCTATGATTTATTAATTTTAATTGAAAATGTTGTGTTTTTTTTTTTCTCTTTGTTTGTTGTTTATAATTTTCATATTTTTTTGATTTTAAGTTAATTATTTTTGCAGGTTTACTTCCTATTTATTGACATGTTGGTGGTAATTGTTGCATAGATTAGTACATGTTGAGAGGAGTAACTTTCTTCTTCTTTCTCCTCTATTTTTATTTTGCAATGATGATCTTGATAACTTCAGCCTTTGTGAATGGTGTAGTCAAAGGGTACCGAACATCTTCAGTTTTGTAGGTGTCATATATATATATATATATATATATATATATATATATACATGAAAAATAGTTTTAACCATATATGAATAGTATAATTTTCCATCGAAGGGGGTTCGAATTAATGAACTCCTTGACCCCAAGCTAGCTCTGCCTCTGCAAGTACTTATAAATATTTGACTGTGAATCTGCCTATTACTATTGTATTATTAACCTAATTATCGTTATAGAAACTCATAAACTTCAAATATGTATCTGAATACAGAACCAAAAGCTATTAGGTTCATTTTAATCAGTACCTAATATTGTAACTCCACCCAAGCCCTCATAAATTATTATAGGAAACCCTAATAGTTGAAGTGAGCATGGGCTACTAGTCTAGACTTTGGGCATGTAAATAATTGGGAATGGGACATTTGTGTACCATTTTTAGGTGCATAAATGGAATGGCAAAGGCAGGTGAAACTGAAGTTGATTGATGAATGAGCCTAAAATTGAAAAATAGGCCCATCAATACAATCTTATTGGCTTAAACAAAAATAAATTTGAAGCTGATTTTGTCTGCTCTTTTATTAGCAACCTGTGTCACTAGGCAACTCACCCTCTCTCTTGTATAATTGGTTACTACTATTATTATTCACTTACTATGNNGGAGGGCACAAAATTCAATAATACATTAGCCCCATACTTGTACTTGTTAAAGAATAGTTAATTCAAGTCTACATCAACCAACTCTTTGATTCAAAACAAATAGGAAAAAACCAAGAATCATTTTGTGGTTTGTATTTGTATGTATTCTTCAATTCATACACACACAAAAAGGGGAAAGTTACGGATATATACCCTTTGATGAAGTATACACAACGTATACACTGATACGTTATATATAGGTAAGTATAGTATATTTGTATATTTTTGTAAATTAGATTATTGAATGGTTCAGATCGGTAATCAACAAACAGCCTAGTAAAGACATTGAAACTGACTCTTTTTCTTTTGGGCTGACCCAACAGTTTGTGAGGTTGTTGCATGGGAATCAGGTCGGCCCATTAAGAAAAATTAATCTTCCAAATATAACATGAAACGCCCACCGTGGGGCTCGAACCCACGACCACAAGGTTAAGAGCCTTGCGCTCTACCAACTGAGCTAGACGGGCTTATTGATCTAATATGTTCACCATGGGATTCGAGGTGATAGTTCAAATTGACTATGAGATCGATCACCTTAGATATTTAACCTTTGTGGCATAATTTGAAACTTTTGTTAGTACTTACTATTCATATGTAGATTTCTAAGATTTAATGAGCAATGACCCAAGAAAATAAGAAATTAAGTTGGGACCTTTGATTCTTGCTGATGTTTAACAATATTGGGCTCAAGTTTGGTCCAGTTTTGAGTTGATATAGTATGTAATCCAATTGAAAGTTTTAAGTTCCACACCTAAAATTTCATGATAATGTTATATACTTTCAGTTATGAAATTTGAAACTTCATGATAATGACTAACATGATGAATTTTCATCCATGGAGTTTGAAGATTCATGATAGTAATTAAGTGGTTATTTGTGAATTTTAGCCGAAATTCGGCTATTTATGAATATTTGTCACTTCAAAGATTATATCACTAGTCGTGACGCTGAGGGCAGGTCAATCAATTAAGTATGCCTTAGTTAAAATCGATTATATGAATCCTATAAAAGGTTTATCATAGTTACAATTAACTTTTACTTAGATCATCGAACTTGGTACGATCATTCTCTTTTATCTAGACTTTGAACTTACTTTGTTATTGAAACTCACATGACCAAAGGTGGTATAAAAGCCTTGCATAATTATACGAATTTGATGTAGCATTGTATTATTAAGGACTTTTGATATTTCACCATGTAAAAGATAAAGTTCAAACTTAAGGTTGTGTTTGAACATATTTGCCGTGGCAAATAAACAATTTTCTCACTTATTTTCTTGTGTTCGGTAAATATATAGAAAAGATTGTCCAAAAAGTAATTGTATATAGTTTAGGCAAATACCATACAATGAAGGTAGGGGCATGGATGTGTTGGAGGTGAGAAGTAGCCAATTAACACAGAATGCCACGTATAAAACTTGTTTTCCCCACTCCTACTATAGAAGTCGTTTGAATTGTGGTGGGATGAGTGACATCTCTCCACCCTTAACCCGAAGTTTCGATTTCGTGCCCAATGAAAGATCACTGCCCCTAGAAATGGGCGAATCAGGCCCAGGTAGACTACAATGTGAGTACCGAACATTGGGTGGGAAACAAAGTAAAAACTTAAATGAAAGAGTCATCACATTCTTCCTTTCCCTTCATCTAAAAAGAAAAGACACTGCACTTGTTGATCAGTGAATAGCATTGTGTTAAAAACATAGTAGGATACCATGCAATTCTTTGTTACACTTGAAAAGAAAATGAACTGCATAGTAACACTTTAAGCACAAAACAAATCCACCCTACATGCAATCTTTTGCCTAATCAACCCTCCTACTGCTGATGCAACAGTATGCACTCAGGCTACAAGCTAAACTTCATTTCACAACTTAAAAAGGATTCATGAATACTATCTGCATACAAAACAAAGTTTGGGTTCCAAACACTCCTCATGGACAGCAAAGAGCCACTACTCTAGGAGGTAGTTACTCATATGCACCATGAAGCTATACTCCTACCTACTGCTTTTAACACATTCTGAACAGCAGATGTGGTCAACCTAAAACAAATGATGCGTCCGAGTGTTTTACACTATTAAGGCCTTAGGAGATATAGGACTTAGTCATCTTTGCAATCTTTTGCAAATGTCACTGAACCTCCATTTTGCTCACCATTGGCATTTGAAGCTCCCTTTAACTGCGGAAACACAACATCATCAGCTAAAAGGCATACAACATTATGGCAAAGAAGCACGGCTTCAAAAATAAACATCAACTTCTACAACTTCATCGACTTGAACCATATGGAAAAAGCTAATTAGTTTCATTATTGACGACAAGTAACAACCATTAGTTAGGTAGCAATATAGTGTTTATATAATGAAATATCCAAGAAGGCGGCAATTTTTCCTTAAAACTACTGAATGAAAAGCAGTCACAGTAGCGATACCTGCTGGAGGACCTTCTTTTGATAGCGATAGCCCTGTGAGATAAGAAGCAGCATAGTGTAAGAATCTGTATGGTTACAAAAAGGAAACTTGTAACCCGAAAATAAACACCCACAATACCGAAATCACCTTATCAGTTCCATATATGTAATCGCAGTAGGTGAAAACTGAAGCAAAATTGCTCTGGCTTTGGCCTCCAACATAGTGATGGTAGTCATGGTAATCTGCTCCACCGTAAAAAGGTATATACTTGGTGAGACTCCAAGGAAGATCATATCTGAAAGAATGACGAAAATAGATCAGTTAAAACATGCCTCAATCACCATACTAACTCATATGTGAAGTAGGAGCAATGTAAAAGAACTCTCTACATAAAACATTGCCAGCAAAAGATTTCAACAATTTACAGCTAAACTGAGCAATTAAAGAGGTCGTTGAAAATCTTTTAAGACAAAAAAACTCTCAGCAGTCAGCTCTGTATAGCATTGACTAGCATCAAAGCAGTAAAAGAGAGTCGAGCAAGATGAATCAGTAGATCTAAGCCTCTATTTCAAAAATTATTTATTTATTGAGCAGTTGCTTCAATGGGCTCTCCGCACAAGTTAAATTTAGATTAGACACGGAATCCTTAGTTCTAAGCAATTACTCAAGTGTAAGCTTGAGTACATCAATTTCCCAACACCAGCAGTTAAAAAGAAATAATCTTGTAAAGAAATAAACAAGCTAATATGAAAAGAAATGATCCCAGCTAACAAAGTTAGCAATAATTCACCTGCTACTCCTAATTGGATCTCTGTACATGAATGACTAAACATGACTATGATGCTAAACTATGCCACTTTCCACATTTTGAGTTCCGAAATGCTCAAAATTGATTATATTTACGACAGACTTGTCATAAAAGAGAAGTGTCTCTGTCACTTCTCATCCCATACTATCTCTGTCAATAATTTCCAATATTTAGTATTGACGAATAAGCATCACTTCAGTGTTTTTTTTCTTCAACTTTGAGATGCTGCAACTAAATAAAACTTGTTGAAATTGAGACCAACACATAAATATAATTCTTTAAACATTATATCAATAAGCACCACAATGTTTTTCGTTGTCCAATTGGCAGACCAACAAAGATTCAATGAGAAGCAATTTTATGTGATAAGGTTTAGAAAATAAAACTCTTGTTGTTCAGAGTATTGCCTTATATCTTGCAATATCAACGATTGCAAGAAGATAACATTTGAATAACAAACAAAGATATTGTCATCGAGATACAGTCAGACATAAACAGGTCATCTTTTCTACTCCTAACATACTACTATCATATTCTACAGGAAGCTGCTAGTAGTTATTACATGCATAGCATACACTTGCAAATAGTTGGCGTGTAACGTGGTACCAAGCACCATCCCTCAAAATAGAAATATTTGCTTAACTTAGCCAACTATTTGCCAATCTTGCTTGCTTTAAGTACAGTCTAGACTGTAGATCATAACCTTATCAATTTCTTTTTTTTTTTAAAAGAAAGTCCAGTCTAGATCATATCCAACGATAACCAGTCGGACAATATTTCTCTTAAAATATCAACAGGGAAAGGAAGTGCATTCTGCAATATATACGTAAACTGCATGCATCTTCTATGACTAAGAAATTAGTAGTTTTTATATCTAAATATAGCATTTGCTTGTACAGATTTACTAAGTTATCAGCATCTTCAAGTTCGATACCAAAATATTACTACTTGTCCCGTTCTAAGCAAAATGAAGTGTTGTCTCCAACTTTAGTTCCACAGACTAATTAATTATTGTCGCAAGGCCAAATATGTCAAAAATGGGACCAGCTATCAGAGAAGAAATTGAAAAGTGAAAGCAAGACATGGGTTTCAAAGTGCTACATCTATTCCAAAGGACAAAGGTTGGAATGTCGAAAATCAGATGTAACTAGCACTTATCACATACCTTAAAAAGATGGCTCACAAGAGAAAATTAATCTAGTTTGTCGATCCAGGAATATAGCATGAGAAACCCTCTAAGAAAATTCTCAAAGCTACTGCCTAGGACTATAGGATCTACACTAAGGTAATGCTTTTATTCTTTTTTTGATGATGATGGTGTCCAGGCTAGCTTGTGCCCATCCTCCACTATTCCACCAGGTACCTGCTAGATTTCATTAGCACAGACCGGCAACTATGCTCACCAAAGCTTAGGAGATGGCAAGAAATCACTTAGTGTTTTTTGTATCCGTAAGATTTGCAACGTGAGACCTCAAAGTTGACATTTTTTTTTAATCATAAGATATAAAAGATATCACAAACACAGAGAGTGACTGACGTCTAGACTCTCTGAGGGATTGCATTTTATTTCCATGAAGAACATCTTAACAGTAAAACCAGATGCTATAAGCACCATTTTACATGTCCAACATGCAGTTCACATTTTAGACTTTTGCCACAGACCTTACCAACCCCATCTACCAAAAGCAAAAGAAAATAGCACAGTGACAAGGAGGGGAAGGACCTATGTGGAAATTGAGAAAGAAAAGAACAGAAGAAGACAACTTTTTAATTCTTCTATGGAAAAAGCTATTGTTTCACTTAAAAAGAGATCTCATGCAATTCCATTCACTGCATACAGATTCATCTAGAGATCAAAAAAGCAAACAGTGAACAAAAAAAGGGATAAAGTGATAGTTATTACTGTTAACCCATGATTTGGTCAAATTATCATACTAGAAGATAATCACAAACTTAATCACCAAAAAAGTAACTTTTTAGTACTACTACCATAGTGTGAAAATCAAAAAGCAAAAGAGCACGCATGCATACCCACTGTGAGTCTCAATAGCCTCAATCTGTCTGAATGCAATCCACAACCAGAATGTAATCATATGACCCGGCGCAATAGCGGGCCCAAGAAACGAGGGGATCCCAAGGATCAAGACTTCTAACCAGTGTGCATACGGCGCAGCAAAGCCTATTGGAGCTGTGTACTCATGATGAACCTTGTGAATCTTTTCATAACCCCATTTACAATGCAAGAACCTATGGATCCAATAGTTAGTATAGTCCTCCACTATAAAGTATGTTCCCAACTGCAACAGAATTACCCATAACGACGGCAAGGGCAAACTTGTTCTAATCCCAATCATCTACATTGCAAAAAATTCATAAAATAGATCACAATGGGTATCTCAATTTCACATCCTTGATCTAAAATTGACACAAAAATTACAACTTCCATACTGAAAAGTGAAAAACTCAAATCAAACAAACAACAAATCATCCAAACTAGTTGAATTTGAATCTTCAATATCCATTGAGGTCTATTAGACCCTATTTGATTCCAATAGTCAATAATATTTAGGGGTTCCCTGAGTAAGTCTACTTTTTCTTTTTTGGTTTCCCACCTGATGTCCAGTGCCCACATTGAGCTTCTAAATCCGGATCATGCACTGCATGACTCCCAACAGGATTTCTCGAACCCAAGACTAGTTAGTCTACTTAAAACTCAATCAAATACACTGGACAATGCACAACCAATTTCAAAAGGAGAATAAACAAGATCAAAATGGGTATCTTAAATTTGAAACCGTCGATCCAAAGATCAACAAAATAAAAAATAAATAAAAAAAACCCATTTCAGATTCAACAAAACCCCATCAAACACATTGCAAAAAGACACCTTTTTTAGTTTTAAAAAAAAAGCATTAAAAGTAAGAGAAAAGTAAGTACCTTTACAGAGGGGTAAGAAACAAGTTGAAGAGGGCCAACAACAAGGATGAACATGCGCATAACAACCTTATAACACCTAAACACATCAGATAAAGAAAGATTGACCTTTGGTTGAATTTTGTATGACTGGATTGATTTTCTGAAGAAAATTTCAAGGAAAAGATAATAAAGAGGGACACAAGAGAAGATTAGGAATAGAAAAAGGATATTGTGACAGTAAAGATAGTAATCAGATTTATTAGCAGAGTAGTTAAACCAGATGGTTTCTGCAGTAGTAAGAGATCTTCCAATGGCGGATTCTGCCTCTTGGAGAGTTTTAAAGGGCAACATTGAAAAGGGTATCTAGTAAAATGGGTTGAAAATGGAATTGTTGTTGACTCTTGAAATTGGTGGAAGTTTTTGAGGGGTTTTTTTGGTTTTGGAGGAACAGGGGGAGGAAGAAGAAGAAGAAGGAAAAAGGGGAGATTTTTAATAGAATTGAAAGAGAACAAGTGTATAAGCTAAATAGTACAAGACAAGTCCTCCATATTTTTTGTTGGCATCTTATATTCTTTTATGAGCTTATGGAAATCATATCTGGCGGGGGCAAATAGGACAAATTGGAATATAAGGGATGGCAAAAAACATAGGGTGTATTATGCACTCGAGGGTGTGATAAGGTGTTCAAGAAAATGCGTTGAAAATTATGACGGTTTTGATGGATAAAGTCATCTTATATTTATTGTTATTGAGAGGTGATATATATTCGTGAAATTAGTCAAAGTATCATGATTATCAAAATGAAATATATATTTGAAGGTGTAGCTTAGTGTTTAATAAAGTGTGTCGAGAATTATGATGGTTTTGATGGACAATGTTATCGTATATCTGATGTTGAAAAATGACAAGTATCATAATTATCAAAATGAAAATATATTAACATCTTAGTCAGACACTTCATATCTGTCCCACCGGTGTTTTTTCAAAATTCTTCGAAATTTCATTTGATAAGATTGCTCTAACCCGATACATCCTATAAATAGCATTTTTAACCTCAATAACCTTCATACATACACGATAATCATAATTACAATACCTCTTTGGGTGTTCCAAATCTCCCAATACAATGTCTTTATCCTGATCTCTTTGTTCAAGAGTTTATAGAAGTCTGTTAGACGTCTTCTTCTAAACATCTCCTTCTAAGAAGTACTTCTTCCATCAATGCTTAATTATTTTTATCCTTGATGCGCTTCACTTGGTCAAGATCACACGTGAGAAGAAGTTTGGTGAATAATGAGTTTGCCTTTAAATTTATTTATTTTAAATTAAATTATTAGATAAAGTAATTTACACATATAAAATATTCAACTTACATTTAAATTTTAACCTTATTTAAAAAAAATTAACAAAAATAGAGTCAGATTTGAAATTTAGTTGCACTTACTTGATGAATGGAATAGTAGAAATATATTTGGTTCGAAATTTAGTTCATTGACATTTGACTCCATGGAATAGTCGATGAAGGGTTTTCAATGTATGTATGTTTGGTACAATTGAATATTCTCATAGCTTTTAAAATTTATAGACACAAGTCATGTTTTATTTATATTTTTTACAAGTGAAATATGTTAAAACAATTATAACCAAATACATTTTAAAACTTTATTTTCAATTTTAACATCATTTAAATTTAAATAATATTTAAAAATTTATATCAAAGTTATTAAATTTTATCGAGCCGAATAATGCAGCAAACTGGGATATCTGCAGAGGAGAGCCAGAGAATAACATACTTGGAAGCCATGCAATGTTGGGCTTCATGTTTGGGCTGTTGGCCTACTTCCCATATTAGTACAAAGAAGAGCATTTGATAATGCCACTTATTTTTATTTTTTTCTTTATAAAGATAATGCCAGTTGTTTAATATTAAAAAAATTGTGACATGTAACGCATCTTCTTCTTTGTTTTAGAATTTGAAAGTACAATTAAATTCAGATCAGCAAGATTCATTAAAAAATAATGCTTTCAACAATTTTTTTTTCATATTTAGGACTGAAATTCAAAATTTTAATTTAAGGTGAAACAGTCACACGACTGCACCACAACTCGTGTTGATCAAAGGCATCTTCTTCATTGATTCCCATTGTAACAAAATAAATAAATAAAGTTAATAAGAACCATCGAATGGAAAAAAAGCAATTATAACAAATTAATAAGTATTATAAGTTTTGTCTTTTGTTCATTATATCATTTTATAAAATCAAAATCAAATCAAAGAAGTTGGTCATGACTCATGAGAGAATCTTTAGGGAAAAAATAAATGAGTTAGGTGTGCAGTAGTAGGGAAACTTTTTTTTATGTTAAATTAATCAAAATATTTTTAATAGCAATTAGGAAAATATAAGTCTTTTAAGAAATTATGAAAATAACTTTCTTAATACGAATAGTGAAAATAAATTTCGTGAATAGTGTTTTATGTTCATTTATCATCTCTACCCCACACTCCAATTCGACATCCACATAGGGGTATTCTCGATTTGGATAAAGATCGATCCAAACCGAAAAATCAAACCAAATTGATAAAATAAATCGATTTTATTTGGATTTGGTTTAAGATTTTTAAAAACCGATAGTATTTGTTTTGGTTATGATTTTATTCGAAAAAAAGGAAGAAATAATCGAACCGAACAGATGAATTATATACATATATTTTATTAATATACATACTTAATATATTGTTTTTATAAACAACTTTAAAGATCTTACATATATTTTCATTAAAATTTCTTTATAATTTACTTATTGAAAGCAAAAATGCCCAAGATGAAAACATTTATCTTATTGATTTCATGTATATGAGTGTCTATGACAATTCTTTGTGGGACTGAAAATGTTATTGTTTCTTCCTTCTAGGCCAATATAGTGAATTTTAAAGTTTTATTGATAGTAAATTTAGTGATCAAAAGTTCAGTAATTTAAGTCATTCTAACTATTTTTCGTTTTGAATGGATTGTTGTCACTTTTTTCACATTTTGAATGAATTGTTTCTTTTATTTTTGTATATGGTTAATAATCGAATAACCGAACCAAACCAAACCGAAACCGATAACCACCAAACTGATAAAATGTATATTATATTTGGTTTGGTTTGGTTTTGATAATTTTAAAAACCGATTAAGTTGGTTTGGTTTTGGTTTTGACCAATAACCGATCCAAACCGACCCGTGAACACCCCTATGACCACACCCACCCCCACCTCCTACTCTCCACACCAACCGGCAATACGATTATTCCAATCTTCGAAAGTATTTGTCTAGATTGTATATAAATAACTATATGTTTTTTACTTACTTATCGACAGAAAAAATGAGAGAGTACGAAAAACCACTTATAAGAAAAATATTTTCCAAAAAACTTTTCTTTGGAGAACATCACTGTGCATACCAAACACAATTCTTAATCGGTCACTAGAAAGTGTGATGAGATAAATAAGATATCTTCACTTTTAGTCAGATATTTCGCCTTTAAAATTGAAAAATAAAAGAATCTTTGATGGAGTACTTTCTTTTTCATAAATCCTATGTAATAAAATTATACTAAATTAATCGGATTAATAAATTTAAGGAATCTTTTATTACGAATGATCATCAAGGCTCAACTGTATAGGATGGGCAACTGTGCACAGCGATGGGAAAAACTTCAAGGCTCAACTGTATAGTATGGTGTTAGATGGCACAATTTTTCCAAGTTATTTCTCGACTAAAAAAGACAGTTTGATACATAAAACATTTAATATTAATTCATTATAGAATTGGAGAAAGGTTGTATTCTAAGGAATTATTTAATTTGATAAGGTGTATAAAAATAATGTTGAATATGATGTAATCATTAATGTTGTTATTAGTTTTGATGAGATTATCTTTTGTGCACGATTTGATTTGGAATGGATATGAAAAATGTTTGGAGGGACAATTGTGTCTCTAACCATGCTAAATATGCATTTATTGAAATTTGAAAACTCCTTGCATTGCTAATACAATGATTTGACGTGTCTTAGTTATACATAACATAGTACAAATAGTGTGTGTAATGTATTCTATCAAACGACCCCTAAGTGTAATATAGATAGTTTACCTAACACATTGATTCCGCAGCTCAAATACTTAATTTATAGATCACATAAAGATAACTTTATCGTTGCTCCAAGCTAAGCCAACTCACAATCTTGATAATTGGTAAAATACTATATTCGCCCTCGGTGCTTACCTAATACCAAACCATCATAATACGTTTTTCTTCTAAATAGTAAAATTAATTTCTTTTCCTTTTCAAAAATTCCACTTTCTCCTTTTTCTGATCGTGTTTTTGAATATAATACATTTATCTTTCCTATATACACATATTTATCAATTGACACTAATTTGTACTTCTTATGTTTCAATTTATATGATATCGTTTGACTTGACATAAAATTTAAAAAGAAAAAAATATATTTGAAACTCGTAATTTAAAATAAACTATCTACGTAATCATTTGGATAATTGATTTTTCCATTTGAATAGGACATTCCCTAGTAATTTCTACGTAATCATGTATCTTAGCTCCACTAAACTCATGCTCAAACTGTCCCCATCTATAATAAGTATACAGTTACATTTCCTAATTGGGTTAGTTTGAAAAATTAATATGCTAGCTCCATAGGTCTTTGATGACCATAATCTTGTAGTTACATAGGAGATTAGTACAATATCTCTCTTTATTAATTCAAAAATGTAACCAAATATTTCATCAAAATGCACTTGATTCCTTGGATGATCATACTTTAGTTAAAAAATAAAAAAACAAATTAAGAATCTAGATAAGTTGAAAAGGATAAGAAAATCAATCAGGATTATGGTGGGATGAAGATGATTAATGTAACGACCTGTTCCCGTCGTTATAGAAAAGCCAACGAGGGAAAATTTGGGGTCGGAAATTTTTTTCGTAGTATTTGAATTTTCCCAACCTAGTCCAGATTTGGACTAAATCAGAGTCTTTAAGGTGCAGGGAAATCTGGTAACAATCGGGTGAATTATTTATGATTTTGATTACATGAGTGATTAGATAACTCGTTTTCAATTTTAACATCACATAAATTTATTTATTTTAAAAATATTTAAAAATTTATATCAAAGTTATTAAATTTTATCGAGCCGAAATAATGCAGCAAACTGAGATATCTGCAGAGGAGAGCCAGAGAATAACATACTTGAAAGCCATGCAATGTTGGGCTTCATGTTTGGGCTGTTGGCCTACTTCCCATATTAGTACAAAGAAGAGCATTTGATAATGCCACTTATTTTTATTTTTTTCTTTATAAAAATAATGCCAGTTGTTTAATATTAAAAAAATTGTGACATGTAACGCATCTTCTTCTTTGTTTTAGAATTTGAAGTACAATTAAATTCAGATCAGCAAGATCCATTAAAAAATAATGCTCTCAACAATTATTTTTTTCACATTTAGGACTGAAATTCAAAATTTTAATTAAAGGTGAAACAGTCACACGACTGCACCACAACTCGTGTTGATCAAAGTCGTCTTCTTCAT